GAGTGGAAATGTCTGTCCTGGGCTTTGTTAGTAGTGATGGAAAATAGCTGAGGGCGTGTGAGGCGGGGGGTGGGGCGGGATCATCCTCTTCTATGTCTTTGGCTCTTGAATGGTTTTAAAAGAGCCCCTGTCTGTCCCAACAACCCAAAGACGGGAGAGGCAGTCGATGGCTTCTTGCCGTTCTGAGGTGCCCTCGCTCTTGGCTCTTCTCTTCCTGTCCTCGTTTCTCCAGTGAGGGCGGAATGTCTGGTGATGTAGAAAGCGCGAGCCAGTCGCCCAGCTGTACCCATCGCATACCCGCTGTAGCCCTCAGTTTACTCATCCACACCATGGGAGAGGGAGAAAATAATCGGGTGTATTACCAGGATTGTTGTGAGGATAAAGACAGACAACAGGATGAGAAATGTTTAGTTAGCGGAGGGCCTGCCCATAGAAAGTATCCAGGATGCATCGCATGCTGTCGTCATCACCATGATCCTATGTCATGTCTCCCTGTTGGTTCTGAGTATTATTATTCCAAAGGGGAAGGCACCTTGATTTTTCTTTCTTCAAGACTGATGTAAGATGATAGGGGTGGAATGTAGGCGATAGGAATAGGGGTGTTCACTAAACATTTGTTTAAATTTGCTCTGTGAAGTTTCCCAGTAGAATGTGAGGGGAAATGTCCAGTGACACAAGATATGCCATTCAATTAATTTCAATAGCACTGCTTGATTTAAGGGCAATTCGACAGCAGAAAATGGCCGCGCGCTGGCCACCTACAGTGCGTTGTTAATGTACTGAGCATCCAGGACAAATGCAGCTAATGCTCTTGGGTCAGAAAGCTCACAGTTTCGTCAGGGAGACCAGAGTGAAGTCAGACTGTCATGGCAACAAACATAAGCCAATCGTTTTCTGAAAGAGTCTAATTTCAAGTACCTTTATTATTTTTAAACGTAAGGGATTCAGAGTAAATAACTCAATGTTATTTTGGTTGTTTAATGTAGTAACACTTTTTAGACAAATAACTTCACAAATAGGGAAAGGGGTCTTTTGTCCAACGCTGTCTTCCAGCGTAGCTTAGGGAAGCGTGTGCGCGCTGTCGCTGCTGCCCTGGTGGTCCCGTGTCCTTGTTGACATAATATTTAACATTTACTTTATGGCCAGGAAGGAGGCACGGGTGCGCTACAAAATCAATTGAAAGCCAGAGGAAAGAAGGCGAGGTTTAGTTAACAGGCACAGGGGTTGGAGTTATCTTCAATGTTTCCCCTCTCTCCTCCGTCAGAATTTCCCACCTGCTGCCCACCCCCCACTGCAGCCGGGTGGGGGGTGGGGGAGGGGAGGCTCCTTCTGAAAACCTGGTCCTCAGGGGTCCTGCTGGGTCAGTGGGCTCCACTGACTAGCCCAGTGATGGCGAACCTTTTGAGCTCGGCGTGTCAGCATTTTGAAAAACCCTAACTTAACTCTGTTGCTGTGTCACATACAGAAATTTTTTGATATTTGCAACCATAGTAAAACAAAGATTTATATTTTTGGTACTTATTTTATATATTTAAATGCCATTTAACAAAGAAACATCAACCAAAAAAAAATGAGTTCGCGTGTCACCTCTGACACGCGTGTCATAGGTTCGCCATCACTGGACTAGATTCTGCTCCCACAGTCTTAGCCTGTGGCCCGGACCCACCTCTTCACCTACACCCTATGCTGCGTCCAGTGCGTCGTTTCCCAAATAGTGGTGCCCCCACCTGTGTGAGGTCTCTGTCAGCTGATCTATGTTGACTTATTCATGTTCATGGAACGCCCTCCCCTCTAACACTGCTCAGGTCTCCCCAGCCCCCACCTCCGTGGGAACCCATCTCCCAGTCAGCCTTGGCATTTTCTGTCTTGGATGGCCTGTGTGTTACAGGCTGTGTTGGTTTTAGATTCAAGTGTTTATCACGACCACCCCCACGTCAACCTAGGCCCCATGTTGGCAGAAAAAGCCAACATCTCTTCTTAAAATCCGCCCACGGCAGGCCGAGTGTGCTCTTTGTAAGCCCATCGGCGGGATCATTTCCTCCAAAGCGCAGCACCGTGTCTAGGAAAGGCTCAGGACGGACTGCAGAAGGATGCTTGTGTGTGACCCCCAGAGGAGCCTACAGGTTTATTAGAATTCCGTAACTGGGCGCATTTCCCAGGCAGTCCTGCAGCGCAGCACACTTATCTGGGAGAAGCAGTGAGCAAAAGTATTGGCCTTTGCGAGTTTCTCTTGCATATGAACTACTTTAAATTGCTTAACTCTCTCTCCTAGCTTAGATACTGGTGGACTTGCTGTCTTTTGCTGCATGCATAATGCCATCTAGTGGCCAGAGAGCACATGACACTCATTTACCCCAGTGCTCCGGAGGCTCTGGATTTGGGGCATGCACAGGGTTAGATACTGTGCTTCTGTACTCCATCCCCCCTGTAGTATTGCGTGAATATAGGATTCATTTGAATGTTGCATAGGAGCGGGGCCCCGGGCTCGCAGTCTGGCGACAGATGAGGGGGGCAGTCAGCAAACACAGCGGCCACCTGTCACCAGGCGGATGTAAGGCGCGCTAGGGCGTTGGCATGTCTTGCTTAGGACAAGTTCTTCCTGACCTCATGGGCATGGGGTACTGGGTGGTATCGGCCTGGCTATAGGGAAGGGTGAGGTTTTTGTGCGATTTCTTTATGGGTTGCCTGTGATGCAGGTATCATTGTTTTCTTTCTCATCTACCTTTGTATAGTTTTTCTAAGTGGGCAGGAGATTCTGTTTTTGATTGTGTTTCCATAACCAGAGCAACCGGTCTAAAGAATAAACACAAAGAGGTATAGGTTAAAGGTCAGTAGGGGAGCCACTGGGGAACCCTAGCACACACCACACCCAAAGGAAGGCAGGAAAGAAGCAGAGAAATGGGGAACCGACGGGACCAAGAGGAAACGAACACCAAGAGAGCAGGCTTCAACTCACCCACACGAGTCACTGCTTTACGCAGACCAAAACCTCCCATTAAATGTCAGACATTGTTAAAATGGGCAAGAAACACATGGTAAAGGCACAGACAGGCCGAGGGTAAAAGGATCAAAGATACGCTTTGCAGACACTAAGTATGAGAAAGCTGGTGTGGCGATGTTAATGTTTAAGCAAAGTAGATTTCAATACAAAGAATATAACCAGATTTAGACATTGCATAATGATAACAGGGTCCATTTTATTTGGGGCCCTAAATGTGTTGGTAGCTAATAAACAAGTTTGAAAGTATAGGGAGCAGAGGGAATGAAAAGGGGAGTGGGCAAGCACAGCAGTGGGAGATTTTAACATCCCTCTTTAATAAAAAGGTAGGCCAAAAAAATCAGTAACGAGACAGGATTGGAGCGACTACAATAGTGAAACCAAGGAATTTGGTATGTTTAAAGCAGTGAGATTTAAAGATCTGGTAGTTGTTACCTGAACCCTCACTGCTGAGTGACACTTGATAAGCAGCATTTTCTTGTACACATTGGGATGTGGTGATGATTGGAATGTGTCTGTAGGTTTGCCAAATCAACCCAAAGTTGCTCCCGTCTGCCACTTGGGGTGGGAGCCCTGGGGTCACGGCAATAGGACCCGGTCTTCATGCTTTAGGGTGTCTCAGCTGGGGTGGTAGAATACTTACTTATGTGACATTATAGCACAGGCAGAACCTTTGATCTTTCCCTGGGAAACTACCCTAAGCCACGCAAACAGCCTCTCAACATTGGCCGAACGTCATGATTTCATCTCTCTGGGTCAGGGGTGCAAGCTTCCTTCAGCCAACCCAGCAGGCTCCCTGTTACCTTCTAGACCGAAAGCCAATGGCAGTTCTGTAGGAAGAGTTGGCAGACTTGGCAAATAGAAATGGAGTGCCCAGTCCCATCTGAATTTCAGATAACAGATGATTCTTCACTAAGAGACATGCTTACACTCAAAAACCATTGGCCCTGACTGGGTAGTTTAGTTGGTTAGAGTGTTGTCCTGAGATGCCAAGGTTTCGGGTTTGATCTTTGGTTGGGGCACATGCAAGAATCAGCCAATGGCCCTGGCTGGTTTGGCTCAGTGGCTAGAGTGTCATCTGGAGGATGGAAGGGTCCCGGGTTGCAGGCTCGATCCCCAGTAGGGGGTGTGCAGGAGGCAGCAGATCCACGGTTCTCTCTCATCACTGATGTTTCTATATCACTCTCCCTCTCCCTTCCTCTGCGAAACCAATATAAACATGTATTAAAAAGAGAATCAACCAATGAATGTATAAGTGGGACAACAAATCAATGTGTTTGTCTTTCTCACAATCTCTCTCTCTCTCTCTCTCTCTCTCTCTCCTTTTCTCTCTCTCTCAAATCTATATATATATTTTTAAAGAGTCTTTTCAAATCTCT